CTTCTGTTGCAAGATGCTTTTTCTAGAAGCTTTTTGTCATTCTGGCAGCAAACTGTTTTCTGCTCGCTGCCTTAGCAACAAGACTTGAAGTCGCTCCTCCTCGAGGCTGTGGTTTGATTATAAGAGAGCTAACATTATACCCAGAACTAGAAGGAATATTATGCTGGGGAAACCTGCCAACCTTACCTGTTTGTTGGCGGAGGGTGTTATTTATGTACATTGTCAGTGTCTCTTTGAAGGGAAAGGTCACACAGGAAGATTTGGAAATGGTGATTCCAACCCCAGGTAGTCCTAAATCTCTAATAAATGTTCTCTTTGGGTGACATCTCTGGCCACAGCAAAGAATAGTTTTTCTTCTCAGAGTTGTCCATGGCTACTTGGAAGAAGAGCCAGAATGCTAAAGATCCTTTCTTGCGTTCTAGTCTTATATAGACTATTAGTTGTTAGTAGTCTTTGTTTAACCCAAGAACATAAAGTTCAATTTGAGAATAAAACTGTTTACCAAGAAGTAGAATTCTGGTAGCATTTGGCTGTAGTTGATCTCTTAAGAGCTCATTTAGACATCTTTTACCAAATTTAGTTTTATCTTGTAATAGAATATGCATAATACAGAACAGTACAGAACCGGAGCAAAGATTAAGGATTAATTATTACATGCAGGCTTGTGGTCCACCCGAGCTAAGGACGAGAGGCAATCAAAAGTTAAAGGTAGAAATGTACAAGTAGCTATCTTTCTGTATTTTCTTCCGTGTATGAAAAATGTATGTGACTTAAAAATTAGCTCTGATAGCATCCTGACAAGAAATGATGCAAAAACAGATTCATTATAGAAATGCGCATCTTTCCAGAGTACATAGGGAATGCAACAAAAGCTCCAAACAGAATGTCGTTGTGTCGTAGTTCTGTGATGTCTCTCTATAAGGAAACCCTGTTCTTCTTAATAAATTAGGACTCTTAATTTCTAGAATTTGGACAAAAAAAAAAAGACACCCTCCATGCTTACGGCTCAGTGTGCCTCATGGCCCTGGGTTTCACCTCTGCCAAAGATGGCAGCTTTGGAGGGTAGGAAAGGACTTCAAACTGCAAGCTGATATATGGGCAAGAAACACCTACCTTTGCTTCCTCCTACAGGGCTGAGAACAGGTCAAGCATAGTTTTTAAAGATTGTAGGATCAAAGCAGAAAACCAGAGAGCAGGAAATCTACTTTCTGAATGTAGCTTGCTCTCTGTGGCCTCGGTAGCCACCCTGGTGCCCAGTGAGGAGGGCAAAGCCCCTGTCTGTGTTGAAGTTGGCTTCTTATCCTGCATCCTCATGCATGCACGTCCACTCAGAAATACTCTCCTAGACAGCCAGCATCGAGTCCAATCCAAGAAATTTTGCGTGCAGCAGTCTGCTGTTGGAGTTCCCATTAGCAACTTCATCCTCTTCCAAGTACTGCCTAACTCATTTAAAATTATAAAGTTTTTATTATTAACCTCATTTTATAGAAGAGGAAACTAAGGTTCAATAAGGTTTTAACATTTTATCCCTCCACACCCCAGCACTCGTAATTAATGGCAGGGCTGGGGAACCAGCCAGTTCTGTTAGGCCACAAAGCCCTCATTGTTTCAGAACTCCACAGGACCTTTCAAGTTTTAGCCCGCTACCCTGGGAGACTTTGGGGCTCATCTTGTTAAAGAAGACAGCGTCTCTCTTGCCCAGAGTCTCTCAGCTCCAACATCCTTTGGGAAGGCAGCGTCTTGTTCTGAGGTGTGTTGGGGTCCAGGCTATGGCAGCCATAGGAAGACTGCTGAATGGGGAAGGGAGGAGAGTGTTAGAAGAGGACCGTTACACGGGCGCACGTGGACAGCACCCATCGTCCTCAAAACTGGCCAATCTGTTGCCTCTCTGCCTTCCCCAGCACCCTTTAAGTTTTAATTATCCTCCAGCTGTCTGAGCTGCTGTCAGGGACTGCAGACAGGACAAAGGATCCTTGTGAAGAGCTGCCAGCAGTGTCCCTCCACATGCTAGTGAAGCCGCTGGCCACCGCTGCCTCCGTTACCAGGTTAAATCGGCCTGACTATGCCCTGGAGGGAGATGGTACTGAAAAAAATAAAATCAAATTTTAAAAAAGTGTAAATCTTTTACTTTATTTGTTTGTTATTCAGGGTTTCTTGTAGCAGAGAAAATGTGATGCCTGTTTCTTCCATTTAGGTGTTAGGCCAAGTTGTGCTTTGTTTTTCAAAATAAGGTAAAAAGAGAGGGGGGATTCTCTCCCATCCTGTCCTTTAGGTTTCCAGTAGCTCAGTTCTAGTAACCCTCTGCCTTTGGGATGCGCAGTCCTGAGTCCCAGTAAGGAGATATGCTCACGATCAAGAACGGAGCCTGTGCTGCCCTCTGCGCCCCTGTCACTGCTCAGGGACCAAGGCTCTGCTTCCCAGTGGACGGCAGCTCTGAGCGCTTAACGTGTAGAGCCCCAGGCTGCAGCCTCCACTCATCACTGGTAGGCATCAGGTGAAGCGGTTTGCGTTTCAGCTCTAGATCTTTAGCAAAACGCCCAGGGTATTTACGGTTCTTGCTTGAGCAAAAGGAGCATGGTGGTGGTGTTGTTTTAATGACATTAACATTTTTAAAAATATATGTTTGAGTAAGGACTCCTTGCCATTTTTGTAAATTATGCTACAATTTTATAGAAACTTAGAAAATAATGTAAAACTAGAATAAACTTGCTGTGAGCATTACATATAGCAGGCTAATCAAGAAGTGTGATGTACAGCGATGAATTGCTAATTTGACCTCAGGATTATGCAGCAAAGACAACATTATCTCATTTACATGGAACTTTTTATCTGGAGGCATCTCTCAGTGCTTTTCTAGCTATATATACATTATTTTGTTTAGTATCACAAACACTATCATTAAGACTGTAAAATGTATGCCAGTGCAGTTTTTATTTTCAGTTGCTTATAACGAGATTGGGGGAGTGCAAAGGGGAGAGGAAGGTTGCATGTTTGCTTCCATTCCTGACATATGTATCAGCGTGAACTTTGGGAAATGGCTGTTATCTAAATTTGGAAAGCTTGATTGCATAGAATATTTTAAAAAAAGGAAAAGGGAAGGCACAAACTTTGCAGGTCCCCTTAGGTCAGCCAGGGCCATATTTAAGCTTCAGTGCCTTGGAGGAAGAGCTCAACAGTCATTTCCGAGCTTTTTTGTACTGTGCGATGGAGGAGAGCTGTCCTTGCTTGGGTGGAGATACCCCATGGAGGGACTCAGAAAGCGATCTGATCAAATTCCACCAAACCAATGCCCTCCAAGGTCACAGCAGCAGCACTCAGGCTGGCATGGCTCTGTGCGGTTGAAAATGCTACACCAGTTGAGTTCCTGTGGGTTTAAAGAAATGGACAAAAGTAGATTCAGGCCAACGTGCTGGGTTTAACACACCCTTTCCTTCCCAGAAAGACCAGGGAAACTATGACTGCTGGCAGTAAGAGACAACACAGTTTATACTACTTAGACCATGAAGAGCTTACTTTGGAATGAACCCACATAAAATCAGCACCTTGTGTTTGCCTGGAGGGCCAGACAGATCAGAGCCAGCTTCTTGCTCGGCCATGGGACTTTGGTGGAGTAACCCTAGCCCCAATTCTCCACACTGCAGAGTCATCTTGCCGCAGCGAGTTTGAGCACATTGAACAACCAGCCAGGAGACAGCATTAATATTGGTTCCGAAGATGGGTGATCAGCTCATGTCAAGGAACAGATGGCTAAATGAGGTGCTCAAGGAACACCGTGAGATTCAGGCTTGAAGAAGCAGGAGGGAGAATAGTCCATAGTGCGGAAACCCTACATAGAGTCTCCGTAATGTGAATTTTAAAAATCGACTTTTATGCTATGCAGTTAACTCAGAGTGATAAGAAACGTAAGAAAATGACCGAATTAGTGAACGGCAATTAACATCTAAATCAGAAGTTGTTTTACACACAGGAGAGGGATATTACTAAAACCTTGCCGGTCTGTCATGTCCTAATTGAAGTCTGTTCATTTAATATTTCCCGTCCTTCTGAGTGCATAGTTCATAATTCAGAAGCACTATATCAGTTAATCTATTTATGTTTCCTGGTTCTCCCTTTGTGTTCCACTGTGTGGCACATTCCGTGGGATTACGTGGCGCTTGGAAAGAGTAAGTTTGTTCATTAACCTGCAAACCGCCAGTCGCTTTGGAGAGCTAAGGGAGCAAGTCATGCCAAGGTTAATGCCTGTTGTCAGAAAGGAATCCTCCAGGGGGACGATGGGGTGAACAAGGCCAGGATGCTCAAGACCTGCCTGGCAGATTCCGCACTATGTGCAGATACGAGGTCCAAGTAGCCAGGAGGGAGGTGCAGGGCAGCTGGGTCACGTCTCCAGACCACTTCCTCTGGTCAGGAGACTTCCCAGCTGGCAGGAGCAGGGGCTGGTGTAGGTAGGTAGGGTTAACTTCCTAACAAGGGTGTAGGAGCAGTACTGAAACAGAAGACACCATGGGTGGTTTTCAGTAGTTTCTGTGGATTTTTCCTTTTAAAAAGGAAAGCAATATTGATTTCATGTACTTGTCTCCAGTGGATGAGATGTTGCATTGAGTTGAAAAGCATTTGATTTTGCTTGTGTTTGTGCATATGTGCACAGACACATTTCTAACTGTTAGGCAGGGGCAGAAGCTGCTGTTCTCCAGTGTAAATGCCTCATGGACACGGACTTGTCCTGGCATTCAAGAATTAATGGGAAAGAAACTGGTGTGATTTTCTAGGTAAATTTAAATTCGAGTTTTCCTGCATTCTGTGGGGAATGATATCACCCTGATTTTGCTGTGATTCTTCCAGGGTCATTTGGAGCCAGCCTAAGAATAGATAACCCTGTCCAAAGTCAAGTTCAGGGTCTCCTTTAGACCATGTTCTGGTACACTCTCCATTTCAGTGGTGTTCCTTATCCTTGGATTGGTTGTGCTCATTGCCAATGGACTTTCTTTTCCTTTTACCCTCAGGTATATTCGAATAGTTGGGACTCACAACACAGTGAACAAGATTTTTCACATTGTGGCTTTCGAATGCATGTTTACAAACAAAATCTTCACTCTGGAAAAGGGACTGATAGGTAAGTATTACCATTGCATTTTGGTGTATATACCTACTTAGGATTCTGTCTTCAAATACTTTGTTATTCTATTCATCTTAACTCTCAGGGCTTTAGTTGATTTGAATGTCTTATGGGCGAGTGACAGAGAAGATGGCTTATAGTTTTAGAAGCAATTAAAATAATAATTCCAGTAAACTCAAAAGAATGTAAGTATTGTACTAATAGCTACCAACTGAAACTATTTTTAGTGATCCATTCAGATTTGCAAGGTAAGGAATGTTATTGATAGGCAAAGCCTTTCATACTTAAGACTTTTCTACACTTGACAGTAGGTGAGACGGTGCAGGCAGTCTGATGTTGATCAGATATCCCGTTTCCACAGCTGTGAAGGTATATCGGACCTTGATCCATGTGAGTGATGTGCTGGACTGTGGGCTGTGTGCTTTTCAGGAGCCTGTCAGTCTCTGTTTGTCCTGTTTACCCAAGTACCTCAAGAAAGCTCATGTCCGTTACTTAAAACCAGCATGAATGAACCATCACTGTAAAACTTGTTAGTTGGTGGGAAATGCCGCCTGACTGATCTTTCCAAAGGATATTTTAATCCCAGATTAGTTGTTGCTTGGATTGGCTGTTTGCTGTTGTGTTTGCTTTGGCAAAGCTTAGCTAGGCATTGTGTAAAACCCACCCCAGATTTTGATGCCCTAGATATCATAAGTAGCTTTTCTCATCCAGAATACTTAACTTTTTTTTGCGAGGAGGTGGTCGTGCTTCCATTTTAACTTCTGACTTGCAAAGGATCATAGTTAAACTATGAGGTCCTTGATGCTATGCCCTTACCGTTGTTTGCTGGGAACAGTGCTCCATATGTTCAGGTGGAAGGGACAAGATGCCCTTGCCTGGCAGTACCTAAAACAGAATCCTGTGTCCTTGACAAACAACCTCAGTTCTCTTGTCCTTCTCAAATCCTGTCCATGTTAGTACAGGTGTCCTTATTGACACATGTTCTAAAAGCATGGCAGTGACTAGAATGCTACAGATGATAGAGCTCAAAAATATTTTTGGCAAATATTTGGTAAATATTTGTGGCAATAGAGGGCAGTGAAATCGGCCATTGTTTTTGTCTGTTACCCAGGTTCTTCTGCAGAGTACAGGCTTCACTGCGTCTGTGATTACATAGGCAGAGTTATTACTGACACAGAGCTTAGAAACCAGTCTCCTTAGGCAGGAATGGCAGGTCACGCCTGTAATCCTGGCACTCTGGGAAACCAAGACAGGAAAGTCACAACTTTGAGCCCAGCCTGGGCACCTTGGTGACCTAGTGAGTTCCTGTCCTATAATTAAAAAGGGATTTGAGATGTTCATTGGGCTCCATACCCAGTATCATCACTTCCTCCACCCCCACAAAAAAGATCCTTCCTATTCGTAAGGTGTGTCGCACTGGGCTACTCGTTTCAGAACCATGTGCAGCATTTTTTCGACATGGTGCATGGAAAATACCCCTTTTTATTGGAGGAAGAGAAGCGAGTGCATGCTGTGATTACTGAAGAAACAGACCCATCTGGCATGAGAGGCCGTTATAGGGCTGAAGCTGGGCACGAGCTGAAGTGAGGGAGGCTGTTGTTAGTGTGTGCTTTATGGCTGTTGGGACAGTATCATTCACACTAGAAGCCATAATGTCTCAGGTATGTCAAGCAATGAAAGAAGTCACAGAGGTGCAAGAAGGGCTTTTGGATTTGGTGTTTGAGTACTTTTCTGCCAGCCCTTTTCTTTGATGCTCACACGTTTGACTGTAAAGAGCACTGTAGTCACCTGCCTGTCATTGTTCCTCACCCCAGTGGGTACAGTAGTGTGGCAGGCAGCCGTGTGTGCACACACTTGCCAGCAGACAGCCTGCAGTGGGACCCCCGGCCCATGCGCCCCCGTACCTGCTGCGTGGCTCGGAGCTGCCCATGCCAGCAGGCTGGAGGTGGTGTGAGCACACAGGAGGACGGGGAATCACACTGTCCTCTCTCTGACAGTGCGGCTGTGCTTGGCGTGCAGCAGCATTTAAAACAATAATGGCCAGCTTTCCGTGTTGATTATCAGGTACATTTTAGCAGGACACAGACCTTGGCCACCTTACAGGGACCTTCCAGAGAGGAATGGTCCATCTGTGAGGGCATAGTGGTATCAGGTTCTCCTAGACTTGTGCTGCTGTTACAGTTGGTGTGTTGTGAGACAGGACCTCACTGTGCTGCGCAGGGTAGACTGTGACTCTCGGACTCCAGAGATCCTCCTGCCTCAGCTGCCCAGGTAGCTGGGGCTATAGGCACAAGCTGCCAGACCCAGAGCAGGGTTGTTTTTAAGTTGTAAGTTCCTACTGTTTACTCCTTATACTCTGTAAAATGTGTGTTCTTGCCTTGAGAACCATGAATATAAACTCTGGATTTTCATGGTTGAGGAAAAAAAAAGAGTAACAAGTAGAAAATCAAAGCCGGATTTTATGTTTCTGGATTCAGAATTTGTTTCCGGTCTTCCTTTCATAGTTCAGGCTCCTCTATCATTCTCTTCTAAGACATTTAAAATATTTGTGTTTTTTAAAATCAGATTTCAATGTTACTGCTTGAAATTTAGCTCAGCAATGACAGGAAATCACGTAAGTAAAAGCAAGTGCGTCAACTGTATGAAATGTTAGTCTGTTCCCGCCAAAGGGTTTCTTCGCCATTGTTGGTGAAAGTGTGTCACCTCGTGCTGCCTTACCTGTACGGATTTGCAGGGAAGCTCTGAAGGCCTCCTGGTTAACTTCTCCTTGGCTACGGGCCCTGCCACACCCACCTCTGCTGCTGCACACCACAGCCCCTGCTCATTTGCTGGCCAGCCTCCCCCGTTAGGAAGCTTTGGAGGAAAGGCTGTCTTACCGATGAGGTGTGGAAGGAGTGATAAGAGCAGGAGTGACTGCTGTTTACAGGCTGTCACCCTCCCAAACCGCGCGCGTGTGTGTGTGTGTGTGTGTGTGTGTGTGTGTGTGTGTGTGTGTTTTTCTCATACTGTTCAGCAGGTCTTCTTTCTTATTTAATCTAATGTTTACGTTCATGTCTTTGAAAGTCCCATTGGGTACACACAGACAGAATAGTTCACCATCACTGTCTTCACAAACTGTCAGCTCACAGCCAACCTAGTTCTGTCTGTGTGGCCTACTTCCTCCCCATCAGATTATTTCGAAGCCATTCCAAAACATCTTATTTCATCCATAGCAATTCTATTACACAGTCCTAAAAGTAAAGCCTTCCTTTTGAATACATAATAATACCACTGTCACTTCCTAAAATCAAACAGTAATTTCTGAAGATCATTAAATACCCAGTCAGTGCTGAAATTTCCTTAATTGTTTCAAAGTCTGTAGTGAGAGTTTTTGTGGTTTATAGGTGGTTAAAATCAGAATTTGTGAGGGAAAAAGAAATAGGGCTAAGAGTGAATCTCAGTGGTAGGGCTTTTGGCTAGTATTTGCAAGACTGGTTCAGTTCCCAGCACCACCACCAAAAAAAAAAATCAGGGTCAGAAAAGGTCCATCTGGGGCTGGAGTTTAGCTCAGCAGCATAAGCGCCTGCCTTGCAAGCAGGCAGTCGGGAGTTGGATCCCTGGTAACGATAAAAACGAAAAAGACAAAAAAAAAAAAAAAAGAAAAGAAAAGAAAAGAAAAGGTCCATATGTGACAATAGCCAGTAGGACTCTTAGATTGTTTTAAATCATAGGTTCCTTATTTGTCTCTTTCTTTTTTCCAAAAAGAATTTTTTTTTAATTTTATTGAAGGAATTAGGGTTTTGATTTCTATGGTTTGTGATACCCTGTGTTTTGGTCATCGAGTTCTCATGTGATTGTGTTGCATCTCTTGTAACTTGAGAATCAGAGGCTAAGTGGAATTCAGCCATTGTGTTATGGTAATAATGCCCCATAGATAGTAATTATGTATCTATCAAGAAGCACAACAAAGCTCTGATCATCTTGCTTGGATGTTCACATCGGTGATGATTATTTCCTAGATTCATTATTTTATAATCTGTGATTGCAAAATGGTTGTATTTTAGTTCTTTCATTCTGTCTTACTTGGTAGCTACAAACAGGAAATTTCTCTAAAGACTCATTTGGTAATTGTGAGACACAGTGTGTCCAAGAAATGAAGGATAAAAAAACAGTCTTCAAACAATGGTACAAAAACTACCAATGGACCAGATGAATGCTAAGACTAGTTTAAGATTTTCACAATTTTTCTGGCTTTAGGGTGTATCCTGCTCTAGAAAGGTACTGTAAAATGGCTCTTTTAAAATCTTTTGAAGTAACTCTTAACCTGGCGTACCATCCAGGTTCACTTGTTGCATTTTGCTTTCAATATCTAGGGGTTGCCTTTACAGTTTCTTTTTGTTTTAGTTCTTTGGGCTCTGTGGCAGAAGCAAGATTAACAAGGGGACGCTAGGGTTGTGCACTACCATCGCCCTAAGGCTTGTCACCTTAAAAGTCCACCTGTGGTACATGTGGCTGCCCTGCCAAGAAAAGTCTCAGAGAAGCCAAGTGTGGTGGAGCACAGCTGCAGTCCCAGCGCTCTGGAAGACTGAGGCGGGAGGATTGCAGGTTTGAGCCTAGTCTGGGCAACTTATGGAGTTACCAAGACCCGGCCTCAAAAAATAAAAAGAGCTTGAGACACAGCTCAGCGTGAAAGCCACGGGTTCGGTCAGGGGGATCTACCACCCCCTCCCCACACACGCATCAGTGTAACTGGAACGCTAAGGCTCAAAGAGAAAACGCCACGGGGGCTGGTTGAATCAGAGGCAACTACAAGTTGTATGTGACAGATTCAAGCAGGAGTTCCACGTACTGTGGTGCTAGCTGTGCAAAAAGGTGCTGCTCACTCCTTTTAATAGCTACGTGGTGCCGAGACGCTGTGGTTTATTTAGCCTCTTCTCTCTGCTGAACCATGGGGTTGTTTTCAGTCTTCTGTTACAGGCAGCTGTTGCTTTGTGCAGTCTTTTCCCATTTTTGCCAGT